CTCTCATTTCATCAGTCCATAAAACCTTAGAAAAATCAGTCTTGAGATATTTCTTGGCCCAGTCTTGACGTTCAGCTTGTGTGTCTTGTTCAGTGGTGGTCGTCTTTCAGCCTTTCTTACCTTGGCCATGTCTCTGAGTATTGCACACCTTGTGCTTTTGGGCACTCCAGTGATGTTGCAGCTCTGAAATATGGCCAAACTGGTGGCAAGTGGCATCGGCAGCTGCACGCTTGACTTTTCTCAGTTCATGGGCAGTTATTTTGCGCCTTGGTTTTTCCACACGCTTCTTGCGACCCTGTTGACTATTTTGAATGAAACGCTTGATTGTTCGATGATCACGCTTCAGAAGCTTTGCAATTTAAGAGTGCTGCATCCCTCTGCAAGATATCTCACTATTTTTGACTTTTCTGAGCCTGTCAAGTCCTTCTTTGGACCCATTTTGCCAAAGGAAAGGAAGTTGCCTAATAATTATGCACACCTGATATAGGGTGTTGATGTCATTAGACCACACCCCTTCTCATTACAGAGATGCACATCACCTAATATGCTTAATTGGTAGTAGGCTTTCGAGCCTATACAGCTTGGAGTAAGACAACATGCATAAAGAGGATGATGTGGTCAAAATACTCAATTGCCTAATAATTCTGCACTCCCTGTATAACTACAGAACACTTTCTTAAAATTCTGAACCGATGGATACTCCCCCGGCGAGTTTACGGGTGGGGCCTACCATTTACTCGCCTTACGTGGAGACACCTTCCTTTCTATCACTACCCCACTATAGCCCTTCTACACTTCTTTTTTATTTTCATATTTTCTATTGTTCTTAAAAATTCCAATGCACTATAAGTCTGAGTTCTTGTTCACAAGTATTGTTCTTTCACTATAGATAGAAACAACATAGGACCATAGAATGTGATTGCAGATAAAAACCATTTGGTCCATCTAGTCTGCCCAATTTTCTAAATACTCTCATTAGTTCCTGACCTTATCTTATAGCTAGTATAGCATTATGCCTATCCCATACCTGCTTAAACTCCTTCCACCTCTACCACTTGAGCTGGAAGGCTATTCCATCCAGCCCACAATGCTCATGCCTACCCCAAAACCAAAACTACCCGCCTGCCCAAACCTGTCCGTCCTCCAACCGCCCAAACCCCAAAGAGCCTAATGGAAGAAGTCTACAAGCAGGAAGGAAGATATTTAAAGACTTGTGTGGGTGGGATATATGCACTTTATAATTGTCTTAATATTGGACTGACCCTGATGGGATCTGTATATATATTGGTCAATTTAAGTAATAAATTCCCTGAACGGGATGAAACGAGTAGGACTACTTTTATGCTGACACCTGTCAACTTTTATGTGAGTTATTAAATACATTTTTGTACATTCTATTTGGGCTGCTTCTTAACTGGATACTTTGCTGTTTCCTTTCATTACTTGAAGAGACCAATCTTCCAGGATCTTCAACAGACCTGCATTGGCATACATATTGAAGGCATAATTTACATATTATAATTGTGAGTGGCCATTTGTCTTATATCCAAATATTGTGAACACACAGTTTTGCTTCTATTTTAAAATTATATTACACATAATTTAATTGTATTAAATATAATTACAAGAAAGAAACTCCCCCTTGTAGTAAAATGAATGACAAATGAACGAAGTGCATCGACACAGTGGATCAAGCGCTAGATCAGTTCCATCAATATGTAGCATGAACAATCATATTTGTGTTTACTTTGCCTAACCTGCAGTGCTAACTGCTCAATTACGTCCCAAGGATATGTTTGCTTAGTAGCTAACTCACTGGCAACTGAGGATATACTAGGGTTGTATGTTCCAGCTGTTACAGAGTATACTAAAAAGCCTGTTCCACTTGCAATACACTTCTGTGAATATGGTTCTTTAGTGCATCAATACGACTTACACATGCATGGATTCAAAGACCTCAGAAAGAGACAAGACAACACACTTTTTACTGGCAGCTTGTTGAATCCCTTAATGTTGGAGCTCCCAGCATTTCTTAAAAGCCACAGCACACAAAGGAAATGTATTTACAATTATTTACACCAATAAAAATACAAACTGGGATGGGGTTTTCTAGCAAATATACACAGATAGGGAGCCATAATACTCACGTGGGGTGGAAGACCCAAGCACTGACTGAGTGATACAAATTGAGTTGAGCTAATTATCCTCAGGGGTCCTTTGTTCTTATAGAAAAAAATGGGAATTGGGGATACACCCAGAACATGCATTTAAAAGCAGTGGTGCTGTCGTAAAGACCAAAATATGTACAAAATACAGTTAAAGGAACAAAACACACACACAAACACAGCTTTACATTTAACAAGGCTATTTAAAATCTTGTTAACAAATAAATACGGGGATTCAGTTCCCCCATATAATGTGTTAAGCCTACCACTACCTCATAATACCCCAATATTGGTGTATCCTACACTAATTTTAACATGGGAGATTTACATGCTAACTTGCAAAACTTACTTGTAGTATAAACTGCTTAAAGAGACTCCTCAATTTAAGCTTACCTGTGGTCACCTCCAAAGGGGCACCTATAGAGGATGGGTGAGGTGCTAAGATAGGTGATTCAGAAGAACATCTATGAATTTAGCATTAGGAGCTCAGTTTCTTGACATTTAGAATCATTGCAAAAATTAGCAAATTATGGACTATCCTTTAGTTTGGAAGCATAAGCAGTCTAGCTTAGTACTTTTTATAAAAGGGCTGTAAATGAAAGATCTCATCTCACAGGCCTTTACTCCTTTTGCATTTCTTTGTCTATACTGTACTGTCTATTTTCCTTTTTCTACTACACTGTTGAATATATTGTTTTTTTTTTTTTTTAAAGATATCAAATAGTGGTAAAATAATGATATGGTTAAAAAAACAGATATAGAGTCCAACTCTGGTAAATTAACATAAAAATAAAATTCACTAAAAACTGGATGGACAAAATCCAGTGAAAAATTATTGAATAATTTAATTGCTTTTTTGCAAGTGAATGATAATTTGAAGTACTATTTGAGTTACATAACACTCGGCACTGCAAGGGTAAATTATGTGATGGCTGTCCAAAGCTTGCAAGCTAGCCACCACAATAAATAGTTAATAAATAAATGAAAACCCTCTGGTGATCAATAAGACCCTCACATTAAAATAAAGGAGGTTTAAAACCTATATCTGCTAAATTTATAAAATTAGCAACTGGGCAGCCATTGCTGCTAAGTTGTTAGATAGGCCTTATCCCACATGGTTGGAGCCTGTTAAATAAGTGCCGACACCCATGTATAAATAAATAATAAAAAATCACTGTACACCCCTTTGCCCAACCGGTGACCAGGAGATGGAGCAATTTAATAAAAGAAAAAGGTGAGACTTATATTACGATATAATATTCAAAGGGGGAGGACCTAGTAATTAGCAATGGGTTGGGTCCATAATTAATATATACAAGGGGGGACATATGGTCCCCCCAATCCACACCCATGGTGAGCGTGAGGTGGCTCAAAATAATTATACAATGAGGAGTAGACATGCCATTGTTCTTCCTCTAATTAGTGGCATGTCCAGTTTTAATTGCCCTCCCCATACTATTATTAAGGTGGGGTAGATTATTTAATTTTAATAGTTGTTGGCAAGGATATGTGTTCCCGGCCAACCAGGGGAGTAGTAGGGGGGCAATGCCACTAATTGGGTGGGGGGTTGGTAAAGCCCATTCCATTTTTCAGTTTTCTATAATTGAAATTCGCCAGGTTGGTGATGTTGCCTTTGAGACCGAATGGTAGCCCAGGAATGAGATTTACCCCCATGATGGCATACCATTTGCAAAAGTAGACAACCCAAGGTATTGCAAGTGGAGTATGTCAGTATTTTATAGTAGCCACTTAGTCACAAACACTGGCCAAAGTTAGCATTCATATTTGTTTTTGTGTGAAAAAAAGCAAAAAACTAATATTTGGCCAGTGTTTGTGACAAATTGTGTCAAATTTTAATGTGAAAAAAATGAAATGCAAGCCTTGTATTTGACTCTCTAACTTTCCAAACCACCATAAAACCTGTACATAGGGGGTACTGTTATACTTGGTAGACTCCACTGAACACAAACATAAGTGTTTCAAAACAGTAAAACATATTACAACAATATCGTCAGTAAAAGTGCCGTACGCGTGTAAAAAATTCAAAAAAAGTCACTTTTACTAAATATATTATCGTTGTAATACAATTTATAATTTTGAAACACTAATAATTGTTCTCAGTGAAGTAAAACAGTACCCACATGTACAGGTTTTATGGTGTCTTGGAAAATTACAGGGTTTAATATAGCGCGTGCAAATGTAATTCTCTGAACTTGCTGCCTGGGTTGTCAGGCACGTCAATCAAATTTTAATTAATTAAATCACATAATTATGTTAAAATATTACTTAAGCATACATGTAGAATTTTTATAGAAATTCTACGTGTATACTTATGTAGTTATTTATGTAATTATATATATATATATATATATATATATATATTTATCTATATATAAATATTTGCAGTTATTTGTATTTTATATATAGATAGATATATATAGAATATATAAACAAAATATATATAGATGTATTATATATATATATATATATATTATATACATATCTTAAATATATGTAACATAATTCTAAGTGTATTTTAAAATTAATATATGTACTTATATTAACATTAAAATACACTACGTATGACGTGACATATATATAAGATGTATATATTATATATAATATATATTTTATACATATATATATATATATATATATATATACAGATACACCCTTTCAGTGCTGCATTGGATGAATTGCTCCAGCACTCAAAGAGTGAATTTCCAGTATGATAACATATTTTGGATTCCTGATGGCCCTTCCAGCCTGTTATACTGTTTAAAATATATGAAGACAGTCAGATTCATTTTTGAAACATTCTAGACTCTGTATCCACTCCTACTTTACCCTGAGCTCAATCATGATTGTAGCTACTAGGACACAAAGTGGAAAGCAACCAGTCCAGTTGGATTGTTACTTAGTAACCTATAGCCCCGCCCCTTTTCTGGGCCTTGCACACATGGCCACCACACTCAGAGTTGCATTACTCTCTAATGCAGGGCAAGCTGTCTCATGGCTAGGTGAGTACACAATTAAGGTAAATTATTTTGAGGGATTGGGGGTATATATTTCTTTGTGTCTGCACTTGTAAGTTATGTTTTGTCCTGATGAAAGCTCCATGTGGGAGCTGAAACGTTGACTTTTTAAATGGATTGAATAAAAGCTAAATTTTATTTGAAAATCTCTATAAAGTCCTTGGAGTGCGGTCATTTCTGCTATGTCTACATGATCCTTGCCAGACCAGCACCGGGCCCCACAGGATTACACCAGGAGTGCAAGCCCTCGCTATTTATATATATATATATATATATATATATATATATATAAATACATTTATTTTATTTTAAAACATGTTTAATATTTTTTTTTAATACTATCCACCAGCAGGGGACTGTCTGACATTTCAGACAGTCCCCCTGCTGGCAGATCCACAGCCAGCTATAGGGGGCCAGATTTGCCAGGGTACAGATTTGCCACAACAGCTTTAAAGCCCATTTAATGCGGGACGGCATAGAACGCTGTAACGGCATTAAGGGGTTAACTAAAATTGTTTATGCAAATAATACCTACATAATATAAATGCAATGGTGAAGCAATAATTGGTTTCAGAAAACGTAAAGTAACACTGCCATAACAAGGTTACTTTAACATAAATCCTGCTTTGAATTCACAATTTTTCACAAATATAGATGATGTGTTCAATAAAAAAGTTTGAAATATTTTGAGATATTAAAGGGACACTCCACTGCCTAAATACAAAATAAATAAAAATCAATATTTAGTAGATATACCCTAAATGAAAACTTGCATGCATTTAATTATGCATTTTTTCAAAGGAGTTATATCTAAAAACATCTTGCAAAAACTGCAGATCTGTTCTCTGCTTCCTTTACAAGCCGTCCTCTTCTAACCCCACCCAGACTTTGTGACTGTTCAATCACATACTTCCCAATGCAGCTCAATGAGAAGTCTTTGCACGGCAGATACTCTGAGCATAGGCGTGCGCACGGGGTGTGCCGGGTGTGCCTGGGCACACCCTAATCCCCGCGGCCCGCCTATGCATATTGAGACCGGCAGGTGAGATCTCAGGATCCCCCCTGTCGGCTCATGCAGAGCCGGCGCTATCCGAGCGCCGGCTCTGCTCTCAGCCTCCCTCCCCACCGACCCACATGCAGGGAGGGAGGCAGGAGAGGACCCGGCGGAGCTCTTGCCGGCAGCTCCGCCGGGTTCCTCTCGCGAGATATGAGCGTTGCCACGGCAATGCTCAAATCTCGCGAGAGTGAACTCTAGCCCCACAGGGGTTAGAGTTCACTCTCCACTGGACCACCAGGGATGGAATCAGCAGCACGATCCCCCCTCCCTACAAAAGGTAAGAAGGGAGGGGGGATAGCAATTAATGTACCCCCACCTCCACCCCCATAATCACCCACCCACATACAGCACACACAGACATACAGCACCCACACACACATACAGCACCCACACACATACAGCACACACACACACATTCAGCACCCACAGACACACATTCAGCACCCACACACATTCAGCACCCACACACATTCAGCACCCACACACATTCAGCACCCACAGACATACAGCACCCACAGACATACAGCACACACACACATACTGCACCCACACACATACAGCACCCACAGACATACACAGCACCCACAGACATACACAGCACCCACAGACATACACAGCACCCACAGACATACAACACCCACAGACATACACAGCACCCACAGACATACACAGCACCCACAGACATACACAGCACCCACACACATTCAGCACCCACAGACATACAGCACCCATACACAGCACCCACAGACATACACAGCACCCACACACATACAGCACCCTCACAAACACACACAGCACCCTCACAAACACACACAGCACCCTCACACACAGCACACAAACAGTACCCTCACAAACACAAACAGGACCCTAACAAACACACACACAGCACACTACCAGCACCCTCACACACAGTGCATTAACAGCACCCTCACAAGCGCGCACACACACACAAACAGCACCCTCACACACAGTACATTAACAGCATTAACAGCATCCTCACAAGCACGCACACACAAACACCCTCACCCACAGTACATTAACAGCATTAACAGCATCCTCACAAGCACGCACACACAAACACCCTCACCCACATAGCACACTACCAGCATCGTCACACACACATCACACTAACAGCACCCTCACACAGCACACACACACACACACACACACACACACACACACAGCAGTGTGTGTATGTGTGTATGTATGTGTGTATATATATATATATATATATATATATATATATATACATATACATATATATATGCGGCGTGTGCTTGTGCTTTAGGGTGCACACCCTAATGCAATAGGCTGCGCACGCCTATGACTCTGAGCAATTGCTGCTCTTGAGTTCAGTGCAAATAAGGCAACCAAACCAGGAAGTAACAGTACCTGTTGTCTGCTTGAACTGCCAGGGGGGTGTAACCAGTATAATTTATAAAAGTGCCGTTTTCTATTGAAATCTGAACTATGTCCCTAATGAAAAAGTGGACACACTCTTCACACAGAAAGTTTTTTCAGCAAGCTAATGTGCTTTAGGTACTGGGGTGTCTCTTTAACTCACATAGGAACCTGCAATATCATTGATAAGCTTAAAGAATAGAAGCACAACCTAAAGAAGGTGTATCCTGCTCTTTCTGTCATTAAATTCTTTGGCACAGTTCATACACAAGAATTGATTCATAAGACCTAATTTTAAAACTATTTTTCTTACAATATATGCATGTGCTAGCAATTATTTAAGGTACGCTTTAAGACCATAAAATTAGTTGTTAACTCACTACACTTTCAGAAAAATAGTAGCTTTTTATTTTAAATACTGAATCATTAGCATTTCCAATTGGGCTTTTTAATGAGAGATTAAATGAGCACCTCTTACAGAAGCAATAACTAAAGCGATGAAGTTAAATATGTTTCAATGATCCATTTACTATATGTTACAAAGGAACTTAGGTTTACAAATCATGTGCTGTGTTGATTTTTGTCTCCTGCCTCTGCTTTGTTCTGAATAATATAGATTGTTCATAAATATTTACTGAACATTTGGACGTACACTGGAGACTGACAGATTTCAATAAACATTCATTGTGATGCTTCCATTTCCTTGGAGGTGTATAAAACAGTTTTCAAACTGCACATTACATGCATTTTTCCATTACACGTACCAAAAGTGTCCTTGACATTCAAGAGTTTGCCATACATATTTTACAATGCATCACTCCAGGGTGTATTTGAAAATACCCTCCATTTGCCTTTAATAATAATGAGTTGTCATATGGAATTCAGATCTTGGTTAATCTAACATAATGTACACTTGATGAGTTTTATTAACTGTCATAGGAAGTCCTATAGCCATCACAACTATTTTTCCCTTCTGTCATGCAGATTTCCCGGCATGTTTTATTTTAGTCCATTTGAATAAAAGGTCATAGTGAGCTATTTTCCATGTAATGTTTTTGTATACAAGAAACATTTCCCATTTTTAGACTTTTCTATCCTTATACATGTCTAAATTTAAGAGTAATTATACTGCCCACATGTAAATTTTAAGTAAAGTTAATAAATAGCCATTAAAAAAAAAAAACTGAATGAGAACTGTGTGATCACCGTTAATATTCTATTTTTTATTATTATCATTTATATAGTGACAACGTATTCCACTGTGCTTTACAGTATTATAAAATGTTACAGGCACATTAGGTTGATGAGGACCCTTCTTGAAAAAACAAACATCTAGAAGAGGGGGGCTTAAAAACACAATAGGAAGGGCAACATATGGGATAGCAACCAAGTGAGAGGGTGGAAAGAAGCAGTACTGGAAGATGAGAGTGGAGTTTGGCCTTTTAAGAGAGAAAGGTTTCTAAGATAAAAGTTTCTCTGAGAACAGCAGGTTGATCTGAAATGATGATCTAGGGGTGAGTCTGATGGGTGTAGGCAGTCTATTCCAGAGGAGAAGAGCAGCCCGCATGAAGTCTTGCAAGTGCGAGTAAGCATTAAGAGTAATAGCAGCAGGATGATAAGGTCCCTGGCTGAGCAGAGGGACTGAGAAGGGGTGTAGCTATGAATTATTGAAGAAATGTAATGGGGTAAAGTTAGTTAGAGCTTTATTGGTAATCTTGCATAAGGAAGGGGTGATGATGGGTGAAGGTAAATTATGTTTTTTAAGTAGAATGGGCAACCTTTAGCAACAGATTGGACATGAGGCATAAAAGTGAGGTCAGAATTAATGAAAACACTGGGACATTGAGCTTTGAAAGTCAGATTGATGCCTATACCATCAACTTGTGAAAAAGGAGGATTAATATTTGGAGTATGAAAAATAAGAAACTCTGTTTTAGAGAAAATTATTCAGGGCCGATGCTCCCTATAGGCCAATTAGACAGCCGCCTAGGGTGCCTTTTAAGAGGGGGCACCGGTGTTACTGGCAGTGGCTTTACTGCTGTTTAGCAGCCCCTCTGTTAGACTAATTATTTACAGCATGCCGCCGGCCATGTTACCGGTTGCTAGGGAGCACTTACCTGGCTGCTGACTTGCTCCCAGTACAGCACAGGCATCCATCTTGGCTCACAAAACAAGCCCCACCTCCCAGACATCTAACATAGCGGTAGCGCACGGGCGCATCATATGCTCGCTCCCGCTCCTTGTCCTGCATGTGGGGACAAGTGGGAGGGAGCATAACAGGAAATACGGCTGGGACTGACAAACACATGAACTGCAAAGTGATATGCCATGAAGGTAAGAAGGGACCTCGCAATGTGTGTCAGTCTGTAAGTCTGCTTGAGTCAGTGTATATCTTGATGGGTCACTGTGTGTCTGCATGAGGCATTGTGTATGTGCATGTGTATGTGTCTGTATTGGTCAGCGTGTGTGTGTGTATGTGTGTGTTTGCATGGGTCAGTGTGTGGTTCTGTGTGTATGCATGGGTCAGTGTGTGTGTCTTCATGGGTCTGT